ATAATGGAAGGCGCGCCCCCGGGAACGCGCCTTCATGTGAATAGTGAAATAATAGGTACTGATATATCTAGTGTCCCGAGGGACATGAGTGACATAATAGGGCAATGATAATATTCTCTGACGAAATAATGGAAGGCGCGCCCCCGGGAACGCGCCTTCATGTGAATAGTGAAATAATAGGTACTAATATATCTAGTGTCCCCGAGGGACATGAATGACATAATAGGGCAATGATAATATTCTCTGACAAAATAATGGAAGGCGCGCCCCCGGGAACGCGCCTTCATGTGAATAGTGAACCGATTATAGACACTATTATATGCAACGTATTATAAACTTTCAAAACAAACTTCAGTTCACAATCTTTCAAATTCTCAAATTCCCAAACTCTAAATTCTCAAATTCTCTGAAAATGAGTCGTCTTTCTGCTGTTGTTTTGTATGATGGAGAAATTAAGGAAGCTGAAGAGGGGGTTATTTTTGAGTCAGATCATTATATCCCCTTAACCTTGAAGAGAAACATCACAATTGAGGAGTTAATCACAAAAATTTCGTTAAAGATTCGTGTAGCAGGCCAGAGAAGACTATCTTCACTTCAATACAGATTTCCTACTGAACTTTTTCCGCTCACGTATACATCATTTCAGCTTTCAAACGATGATGATGTTTCTATGATGGTTGATGCTCATATGGGGAGTTCACAATCTCTTATTGAAATGTATGCCACTTTTATTGAGGTTCGTGTAACTCGTGATCTCTCATATTCCTCTCACTTTGGCATTGCATATCAAACTGATCAAGTTGATAGCCCGACACAACTTATCTGTAATGATTTCACATCATTAATGGCGGATCCAACACCATATACCATGCCATCAAGTTCAATAGGAAGGCATTCATCTGCAACTGCTTATGATCTCAAACCACGTGGCTTCACCAATAATCCATATGGCAACATCTCTTCTACTTCAAGGGGCAGACATTCATCTGCCAATGTTTTCGACTTACATATGGAAATGCCAACGAGACGACAGTCTATTCACATCCCACATGATACAATGGCCTCAAGTTCAAGGGGAGGACACGCAAGAGGGAACTTATTTGACCTCAACATTGGATTATCGGAGGAACCCTCATCTCCACCAGAAGAACCTCTTCGGGAGCCAGGTGCAGATGGTGCTGAAACGGGATTATTCGTTGAACCTGACTCACCACAGTTTAACGTACATTCTGATGATGACGAGGATGACGTTCCGATAAATACAACACCAGCCGAACTTCCTGCACATATGTATGAGGCTGATTATGATGCAATGTATGAGCCTGAATTTCCAGATCTTCCTGATGTTGGCAACTATGGACTTCAATCATCAGTCAATGACGGTAATTTACATATTGGAATGGAGTTCGCATCGAAGGAGGAAGCAATGATGGCAATAAAGAGTTACAATATTCGTAACTCAGTTCAGTCCCGAGTTGATCGATCTAACACGGAGAAATATGTCTGCTACTGCGTCCAACGTCACAACGGATGTCAATGGATGGTCCGTGTATCAAAGAGGAAGAGGAAGAACAACTTATGGGAACTAACCAGATACAACGGTCCTCATACATGTTGTGCAACAGGTATAAACCAGGATCATCCCAACTTGGACTCCAACATTATTTGTCAAGCAATCATGCCCATTGTGAAGCAAAGCTCTCATATAGCTGTTGCAGTGTTGATTTCTGCTATACAGTCACAATATGGGTACACTGTCTCATATAAAAAAGCGTGGTTGGCAAAACAGAATGCCATTTGCAAACTTCATGGCGAATGGGATTCCTCTTACAACGAGCTGCCCAGTTGGTTTCATGTTGTGCAAAGACTTAATCCCGGGACAATTGTTGAGTTCGAAACTCAACATCATTACGTGAATGATCGAATGGTTCGCGATCGCTGCCAATTTTACCGAGTCTTTTGGACTTACCCTCAGTGTATTAATGCAGTCAAGTACTGTAAACCAATTGTCCAAATTGATGGTACTTTCTTGTATGGGAAATACAAGCAAGTTTTATTATTGGCTGTGGTCCAAGATGGAAACCGCAATATTCTTCCTGTTGCGTTTGCCCTCGTTCAAGGAGAAGACACTGAGTCTTGGGCTTTTTTCCTTAAAAATTTACGTTTACATGTTGTCACCAGGGAACGACTATGCATTATTTCAGACCGAGGAGCTGGGATAAAAGCAGCAATGGACTCTTTGGGTACAATGTATAGACCTCCACATGTTCAACATCGTTATTGTGTCCGTCATATTGCTGCAAACTATTACGGAAAATACAAGAAGAACGATGAACGTCAGTTAGTCGTGCGGATGGGTATGTTACTTTTTCCCAATTTTTCTATCAATTTCTTATTACTTATTTATACTTCATATTAACTATTACATATTCCTAATGGCTTAGGTTACGAACTCTTACCTCAAAGGTTTGAGTCGATGCTACAAGAGCTGTTTGACAAAAATAAGAAGGGGTGCGAGTACATTATGGACATCAGCAAATAAATGTGGACAAATGCATATGACGGGGGGTATCGCTATGGTCATATGACAACAAACTTGGCTGAAGCAATAAATTCAACCTTAAAGGGGGCGCGTCATTTACCAGTCACGGCGTTGGTCAAAACGACTTATTTTCGTTTGGGTCAACTCTTTGCAAAACTCGGTGGACAAGCTCTTACTTGGATGCAAAACGGACATATTTACCACCCAAGACTAGTAGCCGATTTACAGAAAAAAGTGGCTACATCAAATGGGATGTTAGTTACAAATTTTTCTCGCACCCGTGAATTGTTTCGTGTAACCGAAATGCCATGTCCGCTGCAAGGGATTGAAGCTAACTCTTTCAGAGTTAATCTGCAAGAGAGGTGGTGCGATTGTGGTTTCTTTCAAGCACTCAAATATCCATGCTCTCATGTCATTGCTGTTTGCTCACATTCGCATTTGGACTACAAAAATTATGTTGATCCCGTATACCAACTTTCACAAGTTTTCAAGGTATATGAATTTGAGTTTCCGCCCATAGGAAACGAAAGAGACCCAAATGAGATTCAAACTTGGCTTACAATTGTACCAGATCTATTGCTATTGAGGGACTCAGGTCGTCCAAAATCTACTAGAATACATTGTGATATGGATATTCGGGAGAAGTCAACAGAACAAAAACGATGTGGGCATTGTAGAAACATCGGGCACAATAGAAAAAAATGTCAAGCTCTGTTATCATCATATAACCGTTAACTCTTATGTAATTAAAGTTTTTAAAAGAATGTTTTTATTTCTAATAATTTAATGTTATTGCATTTATATAATTTGTCAATGTATGTACACCTAAATAATTTTTTTTAACTTTTAAATACATAAATATATTTAATATATTTATTTAATATAATATTTAATATTATTAGTTATAATTTTTTTTTAAAATATAATAATAATTCCACCTTCTAAGTAGAGAAAAATATTAAATTAAACAAATTAAAAGTTATTAAAAAATTTATGTATACGATGACACATTTCATGTTCTGATTAGAGGATTAAATTTATTAAATTAAATTTTCAATAAGACTAATTTTATAAAATATGTAAGTCTTGAAGATTAAATATGTAATTATACTAATTTATTAACTTATGCATCAATATTTTCGTTAAATATTGATATGAGATGACTATATTGATTGATAACATTTAAATAATTAACTGATAAAATTAATAGATCGATAATCAAAATCAAAATTACTCGAAACTTGATAATTCTTACATTATAATCGAAACATTTTACATAATATATTATTAATTTATAATAATAATAAAATAAACTATTATTATATAATAAAATACGTGTCTGCTGAGTTGGCAAAGGCGCGTCCCCGGGGACGCGCCTTTCACACGTGGCATCCAACTCGGGTAAAGCGCGCCCCCGGGGACGCGCCTTTGCCAACTCAGCAGAAAATGTGCTAGTTCTAGAAATATTGATCAAACGGTGTCAGAAAAATAAAATTATAATCAAACGGTGTCAGTTATTAAAAACCCCCAAATCCGGACATCCACGAAACAAAAGTTTTTAAAATTTACACTTTCTGCAATTTCTTTATTTGTAAATGAGATTGGATGTGAAAAGGCTCCTAGTGGTCTACGTCAACTAGGACCCGCCCAGGGTTGCTTGGTAAAACCAAGTTGTTGGACGACGCGTCACCTTGTCGTCTGAAATTTTAGACGCTTTATTTTTGGTAAGCAGGCCTCGTTGTCGTTGGCTGAGTTACTCTGCTCTTTTTCCAAGCGACGTGGTTCATTTCTGTGCTTTCGATTTACGACCGTCGATCCCCTTTACGTCAGAGGGGGTTTGGTTGGTTGTTGAAATTTATTAAAGTTTCCATTTTTATTTGATCGTGATCGGATAGGAAATTCTAAGTTTACACGTGGCGCTATCATGAATGACCTGGTATACACTTCATTTGCTTCTGTATGTAAGATGGACGGTCAAAGATTTAAGATAATGTGATTTGATTAAATTATTCTAATCTGGTTAATTTAATTCATAAATTTCTTTTAAAATTTAAAGATAAAGTAAAATTTAAGGTGGTCCAGCGTGGCCAGTGGTGGATTCCAAAGGATCTATTCATTGTATTTAAATTCTCACACAATTGAAATATACAAAATTCTTCTATTACTAAATTAAACGAGACACGACCACGTCAGCCCACATGACGGGTGGAATAGGTTGGACTCCTACCGGATACTCGTAGCTCGAGTTGCCGACGAACACGTGTAGTATCGATGACATCGGAATTTATAAATTGGCCAACGCGAATATCGAAGGGGCCAACTCAACAATCAACCTTGTCCCCCCGTATCTACGGTGTATTTACGTACATGGCTCCGTTTTACGACACGTGTTTGGTGACGTGGTTGTTGCCATGACACTTCATTCCCTTTTCTTCTTCATCCAGCCATGATTTTCCATTTTCCTCTGTTATAATCTGCGAATTTTGAAGGGAAAAAAAACTCATTTACTTTTGTTCGGTTTTTGAGTAAAGAAAATGCAGTCCTTTTTGCTACTTTATGCTGTGAAGTGTGAATTATTCTTTCGCTTCTAAGGAAAGGAAAATTTTCGGATTTTTCATATTTTTAAGGTACGTTGATATTGAAGTTACAGGTGCTGTTTTTTTTAAAGCTTTTTCCCCTGTTATTGATGAGTGAATGGATTATTGCGTTTTTGGTATTTAAGAAGGCTGATGAACGTGCAGGATTAGAGTTAAATTTAGTTCTGGATGTTTTGATTTGGTGACGTAATGTAGGAAAATGAATTCGATTTGAAGCTATAACGATCAATTTTTTCAATTGTTGTGAAAGTAAAATCCTTCGGCGTGCATAACATTTTCGAATCATAAATGAGATTTATAGAATTTTTTTTATTAAGAAATCCTGTTCCTTTTTATTTTTAGTAATTTTAAGCGTTCATCTGTTCATAGATCTCGTAAATTGGTGACAAGCTCTGACTACAAACGTTGGCACCGGATTACATTAGAGGACGAAAACGGAATTAGCGGTTATGGGAATATTATATTCTTTTCAAAATTGTCTTGGATTCATCTACGAAAAACCTAGTTCGTAGGGGAAAAAATGCAGAAATCTTTAACCGCGGACTCAAGGGTATTTTTGTCCTTCAGCTAACAGATTAAATCGGTGTCATGGTTTTGGTAATTTGTCTTCGTCCTCTGTGTGAGTGATAGACTGCTAGAAAGACGGTTATACCCTCATATTTTCATTTGTATGTTTTCTGGTAGTCTGAAACTCGCGTTTGTTTCTAGAGGAAGATGATGGTCATGGAATGCATCTGTCTCTGTTTTTCGTAAAAATTAATACGAAAGTAGAATGAGTGATAATATCTTCTCGCTCCATAGAATCTTATAGAAACTTTAGCTTTAAATCAAAATGATTCATATCTAATTGCAATTCAGAGACAATTTGCTTGAATGATGTTTTCCTCAGCCATTCCTATTGTCATCAAGAAATTTGCTGTCAAGCACAACTTCATGTTTCTCTTTTTGACTGCAGCAGAGAGAGAGGTAAATAAAGTTCTTGAAGTTTCAGCTTTGGTACTTGACCATGGGAAACGGCGATGAAGGGAAGTCATCTAAATCTGACAAATCATCTTCACCGTCGCCACCGGTAAGTTACTAGATTATGTCTGTATATACGTTGAATCTTGGAAAAAGTTTTAGCCTTTTATTCTAGAAAGATTTTGAATCTTGATGGTAGTCGTTGTAGAATTTGCTTGGTATTTACATGTGGAGATTAATTTTTAAAACTCATATCTGAGTATTGGTCAATCCTTTTCTCTCCACAGGATCAGAGCAATATTCATGTCTATCCCGGTTGGGCAGCTATGCAGGTTATCTTCTTTATGCATGTGCCTTGTTACCACGTCCACGTTGCTGCTTCTGTTTTTGAGGAATTTCTAATGGGGATTTTATGGTTCTCTGTTACATATTTAGGCATATTATGGTCCTCGAGTTGCCATGCCACCATATTATAATTCAGCTGTGGCATCTGGTCATGCTCCTCCCCCCTATATGTGGGGGCCAACACAGGTATTGCACATAGCTCCAATGCATTTAATAACTTCATTCAAGTTTTCGTTGAACTTCTTTATAAATAATTAGTGAATATACTAATTTGACACTTCAGCCAATTATGCCACCTTATGCAACAATCTACCCTCATGGGGGAGTTTATGTGCATCCTACAATTCCTATGGTAAGTTTGTTTCGCTAGTATCTGTTAATTAGATTATTATTTTTTTAAAAATAAAAATTTCTAGGACACCTTGTTTTGCATTTTAGATTTGAATACATAGATTATTACTCTTGTCAATATACAGTGCACATACTTTTGTATAATTCTTGTCTTTCTTACTTCCTTATGTATATTTTCTAGTTATACTGGTAATACGCATGGGTTCCTTATCTTTCCAGTATAACTAAAAACACAATTAAAAAGAAAAAGAAAATTGCATCATTCCACCCCCTTCACAGGATATCCATGGAGTGCTAAATAAAATGAAAATAGCATCATTCCATCCCCTGCCAAATTTATCATGTTATACCCTAATGCATTTGTTGTCCATTTGCTCCTGAAATCCAGGGATTGCATGGCCAAGGTGTTCCATCATCATCTGAAGTAAGGACTAAGGAGGCTCTTGTTGAATTAATCCTTTTAAACTGTTGTTATTTTTATCCTTAATTATTGTTGATGTACATGCATATTCACTGCTTCAATGAGTTAGCTTGCAAGTTGTCGACCTTTGCTTTAAGCTTTAATCTGGTGACGAATATAACCATAGCATTGTAATGCAGGCCCCTGTGGAAACACCTATAAGGTCCTCAGGAAATACAAACCAAGGTTTAATGAAGAAGCTGAAAGGATTTAATGGCCTAGCAATGTCGATAGGAAACAGTTCTGATGAGAAAGCTGAAGGTGGGGCTGAACCCCAACCGTCCCAGAGGTTTGTTAATCATTTCTGGACAAACTAGTATTATGTAGGAGTTAGCAACTTATTTGTAGGGGACTGCATGACCAAGTGAACTTGTCCCAGTTGATACATAGTTACTAATTTTTATTGTCATGTGGACAGTGTGCAGATTGAATGTTCCACCGATGATAGTGATGGGAATACAACTGGGGTGAGATCTCATTTCTATCTGTATAACCTCTTTTCCAAAAACCTTTTTGTTTCTTTTAGAAGCTATTTTATTTGAATAATGCATTAAAACAATTATAAGGGTCCAAATGCTGAAGTTTATTTTTGTCATTGCATATCATCTGTCAGGCAGATCAAACAAGACAGAAACGAAGCAGGGAGGGAACACCAACCATTGGTATGATCCCATTCTTTACCAAATTTATTGTTGATGTCTAATAGAGTTTACCTGAAGCACAAAGTTTTAACCAAATTTAGAAACATTATCATTTTTTACATATTAATAGGAAATCCCATTAGAGATATGAAGACTCACTTCTGGGAAATTGTATGTGGGTACTTAGACTCATGAGCATTGACCTCGATTTGCATTAGTTTTTCTTTTGGTTTCTGAAGGCGCAACTTGTGTTAGGAAAATGAAAAGAATGAGATTTAAATTATTGAATCGAGACATACTTGGTCTGGCTTTCATTTCTAGAGGTTTAGGCATATTGATTATGGCCGCTGTGTTAGCAGGTGGAGAAGGGAATAATGAAGCAAGGTCTAAACCAGATGTTATGCAGGAGGTGACTGCAACCATTTCTCCTATACCGGTTGGACCTGTGCTTTCTCCTGGCATGACCACAGCTTTGGAGCTTAGGAACCCTTACACCATGAATGCTAAGTCCAGTCCTATGAGCGTACCTGGCATAATGCCATCCGAAGTCTGGATGCAGGTAATGTGTCTGAATGGACCTCCAGTATATCTGTTCTTTATATCCTTCCTTTCGAAGCTTTGCTTTTTAGCTTTCCTATAATTTGAATTGTTTTCTTCTTTTCGGTGACGGTTTGTTTAACTAGAATGAGCGGGAGCTGAAACGGGATAGAAGGAAACAGTCTAATAGAGAATCAGCTAGAAGATCAAGGTTGAGGAAGCAGGTATAAGAAATATATCTTGTTTTTTATCTGCTTAAAAATATACAATGCTTTCATTGAGCCTCTTTACCATATATGAACTATGACAGTGGAATGATCTGAAACTAACGCACTCCATTCTTTTATAGGCCGAGACAGAAGAGCTGGCCCGTAAAGTTGAATCCTTGACCGCAGAGAATGCAACAATTAGATCTGAAATAATTCAACTAACCGAAAAATCCGAGAAACTAAGGCTAGAAAATGCTACATTAGTGGTACGGACGTTTACCCTTTTTGTACTTCATTTTCCTGTCAACGCCAATCTTTATTGTAATGAATTGTGAAGCCTTTTGCAATACAGGTGGGATTGAAAACCGCTGAACGAGGATACGCAGAGGAGATTAACATGAATAAGAAAGAGGACAAAGATGGTGAAATGTACGTGAAAAAGTCGAACTCCGGTGCCAAGCTACGGCAACTCTTGGATCCGAGTCCAAGAGCCGATGCCGTGGCAGCTTGATGAACAAGGATCCCAAGTTATTTTTTAGATTAAATTTGAGGAACCGCGTGGCTTTGGCATGTAATTCATAACCCCAAAACTACTGCTAACAGCTATAGCAGAGGGAGGAATTAGTGTTTGTTAGGATTGAAACTATGCTTTGGACGGTTGTTCTTTTGGCAGAACTGATGTTTGTATTTTTTTATTTAGAAATCAGAGTGGTGAGAAAGCTTAGAAGAAAATGTAGTGTATATTACCGAGAAATTAGATTTTCGATTAGGGAAGGGTCTTGGAAACCGTCAAATATGTAAATCTCTGGTGATTATGATTTATGAAGAATTTTAATGACTGTCTGATGTGTGAAAGGAGAAGAAAAAAATGATGTATTGTTGGACCTCCATTTACATTTTTTGGCACGAATGAATAAATGGTACTTTGTAATGAAATAATTATTGTAACTAAATAATTACATATAATAAAAAGAAAAATAGCCGCCATCCAAAGTAGATACAACACGTTATCCAATTAGTGTTTGATGATGTATCAATGGATATTAAGCCTGCAATCAAAGCCGTACAATCCATCAATTATAAAATAAAATAGCATTTTCATATTTACTAAAGTTCAATTTTGATTTTAATCCTTCTATTATGCTAAAACTTCCTTACTTTAATTTAACTAATTTCATTCATACCTCTACTTCTATAATAATATAATTAAATGTAACTATTAACATGATTTTGTGTATTTTCTTAAATAATCTTAAACATTCAGCTAATATATAAATTTATAGCTACACTACATGGTGATCTCCCGTTATTGAATACTGTGAATGGTGGAACCGTGGAAGTTAGGCGTTCACAGTGGAGGCTAGGCGTGTAGTTTAGTTTTCCTTAATAAAAAATAAATAAATTTCATATCACATTTACTTTATTATTGAACGAAAAAAATATGACGAATAATATTATCAATTTAAATATATTAATAACATTTTTAAAAATAACTAAATTTTATGTTAAGCTTTACGTTTTAATAAATAATAAGGGGACTGAAATCAGAATTAAAACATATATTTTCAGTTGGATTAAAACTTTTGAAATGATTAATGTTGTCTTATTTACCATTTTAACATGTTGATGACGCATCTTGGCATGTCTCCACCATCAAGATGTTTCACGGTGATTCCGTCGCACTTAACAGCCACCGCCATCTTTCCAATCTTCAAACCCGCCACACCCAGCCCAATTTTCGTCCGAGCCTCCACGTTCACCGGCAACATCTTGATTCTGTGCCCCGTCTGGAGCCTGTTCCCGACATCGTCAGCCACCAGCATGTTACTCGCCTTTGTCTCCACTTTCAAACAGGTCGTGCTCTGTTTCACCATAGTAAAACCGGTCACCGCCGTCGTTCCCGCCGCAGTCTCATCTCCACCCTCTCCGAAACTAACGTCAAACTCGGTGTCGCCGTAATAGTACGTCATCTTTAAGATCGGGTTCTTCACTTCGAGTCTCGTCTTCGTCACGGCGTCGAGGTAGGTTCCGTCGGGTTTTTTGGTGACGTTAAACTGTGACAACCGAATTGACTGGACGTGAAAGACGGGGAATTTCGGGTCGAACAAGATGTAGAAAACCATGCAGCCGGCGACGACGAGGAGAATCAAAACCGATAAGAAAATGCAGAGCGAACAACAACAAGCACGGCTAAATCTACTCCCTTCCCTTTGATGGAAAGATGGTGGCAGTAAAGGCCTTCGCGGCGGCAGTCTGAACCCGGACTGTGCCGCCGGGAAGTTTGGGTCTCTAAATCCCGGTGGCTTTTGGAGAACCGGTTTCAATGGAGTTTCAGCCATTACTTGTTTTCTTTTGCAACTGAGTGAGAGGAATTAAAAACACTTACAATTAATGAAGCTTTGGTTTTCGAGAATCTAGCATTAAATTGATGAACATGAATGGATGATGATTTTATTACCGGATTAGTGTGTTTCATTCATTTTGTCTTTTGTCCGAAGGTGTGTGGTGTTGGGTGGAAGGGCATATTCTTCCACATGGGACCGGAGCTTCCCTCTGGCTCTCGTCGCCGTTATCCGCTACCTTGTCGTTTCCACAGATTCCATCGACACCTCACTCTATTTTCCTTTTTTTTCTTCTTCTCATTTTTGCATCATTAGAACTTTAATTATTGTTTTGGTACTTGTATCATATTAAATTCTGAAATGTAACACTCTTATTAAAAATAGAGATAATAATAAATTATTTTATAAATTTTAAAAGTTAAGTGGTCAAACTAAACTTAATTCTTTAAGATTTTAAGTTCAAATATCGTAAATATCAAAAGTGTAAACGTTCAATATCAAATTGTATGTTTTTGAATTAATTCTATCTTATAATTACCTTAAAGAGAAAATAACAATAATATAATACTCATTTCTCATAAGCTATTCAATTTCAATGCAACCAATCGAACAACATTCATTTAATAATTAATACCTACTTATCCAAAAAAAAAACATTCATTTAATACCTACCTTCTTGAATCTATTCCTCGTGGCGGCCACCGGTAAATGAATTGTTAACAGATCTGCAGCTAACATAACCGACTGTGTATAAACAAACAAAAGTTATTATACATAAAAAAAATCGACCACTTTTGGTACTCCGATTTCTACCGTAATTACCAGAAGCTAAAATACAATAAACAATATTAGCCTGAGATTCCGGTTGTATTTTGGACAGGCACTGACAGGGACCTCACCATGCTATCCCTGCCTTTTGAGACTGAATCCGTGATTCAGTTCATGGCCATTTCTTTTTCGATCTCTTCCGGCTAACCGTCAATATCTCGTCGTAGAATGAAAGAAAGCTACCTCATCAGAAGAAAACAATAATTTTCATTTGAATGAATGTTTAACAAACAATTTTTTGTGATGGAAGAAGATCAATTGACCTTTGTTACAACTAATCCCTATCGTGTCATACGGTTCAGCTGAAAAATATCTTATCAAATACCTACTGCTGTAATAAATGAAATATTAACAAATTATTTTCCTTTTATAGGAGAATCGCAAAAGAATTACATACTTCAGAACAAAGATGTTGATCATCGTGAATCTGTTTTACGATCAACTGGAACATTGACAAGGCTCTCTGGATCTGAACTAATTGTTGGCGCCATATCCACGAGCACAGTCGGAGGGGCAAAGTACATATGTAGTGACATCATACAAATAATGATTCCCAAGAAAAGCTGCAAGAATGCCATTAAATAAATAAATCCAAGGTTAGACAATTGCAAAACAAAACTGGCTGCACAACAGAGAGAGAACATTTAAATGTTTTTCAGTGACCATGAAAATCAAAGCCCAACGGAACATAAATTTAGGGCCTACATCCAGGTTGGAACACTAATCTAAAATAACACACCTAGACATAAAAATAATGGCTGGATATTTTGTTCTATAACACAGCAAGGAAGCCTACCTGAAGCGTTGGCTTGAAACTGAAGAGGAACATGGATAGAACCATCGTCAATAGCATGGCCATCGATGTGGAATATACCTAAAAGAATAAGTAAAAACAAATAGTGGTCAGAGAAATTTGGGAGGGGGGAGGGAGGATGAATTCAAAATCCAAAATTTCAATAAATATTTAGTTAAGAAAAATTAGCAACATAAAATATATCGAGAATTCACCAAGTTCAAACATAAAAAACACAAGATCTATCATGAAATGACAATCACCCTACACATATGACATAACAACTAGCAGAATCAAAAAATAGCTAAAAAGAAGGTACCTTGACTATATTGTCAGCATATTTCATTAACCACGAAACCAACAGCCCCGTAGAACCCAGATTCAGCACAACCATCCAAGTTATGATGCTGTACCCATTAAACAGCCGTTGCCACCAAGGTCCTTTCTCAAATCCACCCCTAAAATCATCCATTACCAGCCATGCCATATTGAAAATTGCACCAAACCTGGAAGAGCAACATCAAATCATAATAAATCAACCAATGACTATACCAATCACTTTAAATGGCTTGGACTTTGTAATATATTGATTGTGACCATATAATAAAAAAATGGTAAGAGAAAATGATAATTTGTACTCATAAAAGTATTTTCTGCAACTAACATGGCAAACATATTGAAAAAACAAAGAGGGAACCTACGTGTATAACAATATATTCTGCCAGTATAAGCTGTCGTTGTTCTTCTTCATCAGGAACTCTGTATAAACACCAGCCAATGCCGAAAGACAAGCTGACAAAATTCCTAGCATGTATCCTTGAATTGGTGCTGAGAAGAGGGAGTCACATGAAGCCTCTCCGCATCCTTTGACCTTGATAAGATGGATAATTTAAACTATATAGTTCACTGAATTGTTAACAGAAAAGAGTTTGCACCAAGAGAAAAACAAGAAGATTTAAAGGATTCTAGGAGAAAGACTGCTTCAAGAGCATAAGCATATGTGATTGGTCCTAACAAGATACAACAACTTCCTATAAAGAAATATTGCATTCCTAACTAGTTGTTGCTCTCTCTCCGCTTTTCTTTCCTTTCCTATAACTTTTGGAATGAAACAAAGCATTTTATTCATTATACTAGTTGCAAAGAAGATTATCATATTAACTAGTTCTTCCAACTTATTTCGTATGTGATTTCTCTATATTTATTCCAAATCTAGCAAACCATTGACTGATTTCTCTCATGGGATTCAAGTTTTGACAGACTAATTTTTCAACAGTCAAAAAACCATTGATCTGGCATCAAAGTGTAACTAGTTTTCTTGTACAATAACTGTCTGTGACGCTTTAACCAGCCATAAACTTTTCGTTCATCACAAATCAGTGTAGCACAAATCACAATACAAAAACATAATTGGTTTAGTTAGGAATGTATAGTACCTGACTCGTGGTAGTTCCAACAGCCAATAGAACGATAGCCATCCACTGTAGATTAGAGAGCTTCTTCTTAAGAAACAACCTAAATCAATAAACAACAGCAACTACTAATTCATGAGAACAACATTGACGACAAATCCAGTTACGCACTAACAAAAAGCAAGCTCAAAATTCAAATACAGAAATTAAGAGTAGAGTGTAGCACACCTGAACAAAATTCCAGTAGTGACAATCTTCAAATTGCCCATTATCTGATACGTCGATGTGTCGACGTATGTAAGAGTTGCAAATTGGACATTGTTATGGATCAAGTAAACGACAGAAGGAATGGGGAACAATCGAACGGTCTTCCAATCCGTTGTCATTTTCGGCGGAGGCGATTTCTTAGGCTCTCTCCATAGAAAAACACTAGATACTATAAGCTGTAACAAAAGACAACTTTATATAAAAATCAACATTCCATTTTTAGATCTAAATTAAGAAAGTTCAGTGGAAATGATAAAAAAAATACCTTAAAAACCTCAGCAAGGAAAGGGATAGTGGCGTAATCGTATTTATATTTGCCATTGGTTTGCGATAAAGTTGTTAAGATCCCCTACAAAAACATAAGAACAAATACAGATCTAATCATAATTTTAGGGTTTGAGGTAATTTTTTTTTTTAAAAAAAGAAAAAACTGACCTGAGAACTGGTGAGGACGGTGAGAAGAGAAGCTACTAAGCACCACTTCATTTTCACTTCTTCCGAACCGCGAGAGTGTAAGCAGCAGAACCACTGTCAGCTAGTTGAAGAGAGCGACTAGTACAGAGACGGGGCCGTTCGAGGTACCCAGCACTCCAGTTGACACAAGGGTAAAACGTCGTCGGACTAGCCCAACACTGTTTTAATTCTTATTATCATAAACGAATCGTTTTGGATCCCGAACCCAATCGAAGCCCAGAAAATTGCTTTTCTTGGTTGGGCAATTATGACCCCTTCCGCCCTTTTGTGTGTCATAACAATTCAATTATTGTGGTTAATGTATTAATTTACTTGTAATTATCTAATTATGAACTTAGTTCATGTTTTCAGAGGTTTAACCTATCTACTTATAGGATTGAGTAACAAAATCGAAAACAAAATTAATTATGTGATTTAATTTAATTTAATTTCTTATTTTAAATTTTGATTTTAATTCAATTTAACATGAAATTTTATAATTCTTTTTACAATATTTAAATTTAACTAAATTACATTTGATATATTTTATCATTATTTTTAATCGGTTTTAAGTTTGTTTTCCATGTATAGTCTATGTGCAGCCATGCAGGTCTTATGTCTATAAAGCAAGCCTTCTTTGACCAAAATATTTCTCTCTTTTTAGAATAATAAAAAGAATTCTTACTTCTTCCTTCAAACTTGGTACAGTATTTTAGAATAATCTCTGGAAATTATAGGATAAACTATATCAATGGTCACCTAATTATTATCTCTTTTCATTTTGACCATCATTTTTTAAATTTTATCAATCAAGTCATGCAATTATTTAAATGCATTTAATCAAGCAACATGTCATTAACATTTAATGAAATTGCTAAAGTGATAGTTGATAAAATTGGTATAATTACGTATATGATCCTCAATATTTATACTTTCTATTAATTTAGTCATCATTTAAATTCAATGTAATAAATTTAATCTCCAATTAGGTGTTGACACATGTCACTACATGGTTGGAAGATTTTTCTAATTTTAATTTATTCAATTTAATATTTTACCTTCCAATGAGGTGGTGACATGTGTCACCACCTAAATAGAAGAAAAATTAGTTAAAGACAGAGACACTAGCAGAGAGATTAACTTGGGACAAGGAGGTTAATATTTGCACACCTGAACCACTCGGCCTATACTAACACTTTGTAACATTTTACATCTTATTTTATATATTCTATAGATACTGATAATAGAAAAAGGGAAGTTAAAATGCAAT